GACTGCAATGATTGACTAGCACACTGACTGCCGGTGAGAAAATACATTTTTTGCATAGTTTACTACAGGTTTTTGTCGCTCAAGGCAATGCTTTTTCTGGCAGATGCTTCTAGCTAAAAGAATTGAGACTGACAACCAGGACTGTGAGAGAACATCTCCTTAAAATTCCAGTTTTCTAGCTTATCTGGTTCTCGGGTTAGTAAGCTGACCGCCAAAAATTTTCACGGACCCGTATGTGAGAACCACGTTAACACAAGTGTTCATTTTGGGGGTAAAGGCCCGTACACGCATGTAGATTAAGTTGCCAAAGTTTCAGCCTTGTAACTTTTGTAGGTTTTGAAATGAAAAATCGGTACACACACACACAGGGCAAATCCTTGACAATATGTGTTTCTATATTGCATAGATGCAAAAAAAGGCATAATAAGACTAGCCGGTGCGATCATGCGTTTTGTGCAATACAGCCCATCGAACGACTGCACCACAATTGGTACTTTGGTACAACGATTGTGGTACTTTAATTTGTGCAAAAATAGTTCGAACATTGGAAAACAGTTAAAAATTTCACGCATCAGCGCATGAAAGTTGAATTCGAAACTTTGAAGGATGAGTATCTCTCCGTGGTTCCCGAGTTAATAGTTTACCCACGAAAATTTTCACTAGCCCGTAGGTGCCACCCGAGAGCGCGGGAACGCTGAATTTGAATGGGCAAGGTTTAGCATGGGCAGGGAGCCATTAACCTAAAATTTCAACCTCCTAGACTCCGTGGTTCCCGAGATACTAACCCACCCGTAAAAAACTTTCAAGAGGCCGTACGTGTTACCCGCAGGTACGGGGAAGCTGAATTTAAATCTGCGGGGTCACACGTGGGTGGGAACGTCCCCTCAAATTTCCAGCTTCCTAGCTTTTGTGGTTCCCAGGTTGAAAGTTGCAGACAAGTTGCTGCGGACACACACACACACACAAACACACACACACACGCAAACATACACACAGATAACCCGTGACAGTCTGCGTTTTGTACTGCTGTTACACAGCAAAAAACGCATAAAAAAATGCATAAAAAGTGAAACATTTCTATGGATGTAATTTTAAAGCGAACTTTGCGGAGTTTTTGCGGGATCCCAGCATGAGTCCACGAATTTGACCACTTCCGTGACAGCTCGCGCATAAACTCCGTCCACTCGGCTGTCGATAGCATCCACAAATTTTTGATATTTCGTCTCAAAATTGCGAAGAAATGTTGCACTGTCGCGTCCCGGTTCCAGTGCTTCTGCTTTCAGCAACTTCTGCTTACCTCTGTGAAATGCGCAAAATTCCATCCCGGATCACCTGAAAATAACTGACTTTTGCAAATCGCGTAATATGCGGGTGAACAGAAACGTAAGCAACGAAATGACCTTCTCCTCGGCCAGAGAAACCTCCTACACTTGGCAAAATTTACTATTTCTACGATTCATTAATTGAAAGCCTGATCAGTGCGTTTTCTGCATCTCATACCCCGGGGCAATTGTAAATTTCTAACACTGACTGCGCAACTTGTAAAATTTTGATTGAATTTTTAAAAAATATAATAATTGGCCAGCGCACAGACTGCCGGTGTGAAGATGCGTTTTTTGCAATAGTTCCCTGCAGGTTTTTGTCGCTAACGGCACCAATTTTTTCGGCAGATGCTTCCAGCCTAAAGAACTGAGACTGGCGGCTAGTACCGTCAAGAAACATCCTCCTAAAAATTTCAACTTTCTAGCTTTCCTGGTTCCCAAGTTAGCAGCTTACCAGCCAAAAAGTTTTAGAGGCCCACGTGGGTAGAAGCGTCCATTTTGGAGAT